AAATGTAGAAAGAAAAAGGAAAAGGGAGTGGGGTGGGTGGGAGGGAGGGAAAGACAAATTCTGTTGTTAGATTAAGAAATGATCCTTCGATCATTTAATGCTAGAGAGAAAAGTTGTCAGCCTGTGCAGGTCGGTCCAATAAGAAATCTAAGAAGCAGGTTGAATAAACATGCCCCTTCTGAAATCCTTGACAAGCAACTGCGCTCGGCACAGTCCGCGGACCTCCAGGTACCCAGCAGCACGCCTCTATCCAAGCTGGATTTCTCCCGAGTAGGTAGTGAGTAGCACCATGATGGTGAATCCTGTCAGCAGTCCGGCATTCTGAATCGCAAACGCAATCAAAGCGCTGCCACTCCTTTCGTCTTCTCGGCTGACTTCATTCATCTCTGGGAACTTATGGATCAAGGAAATCAATTAGAGTGGCTTTTCTTGTTTTCTTCTATAGCAAATGCAAAACTATTTCTTGCAGGTTTGTAAATGAAACAGCGTAATTCCAAACTGACCCCATATACAATAAACAAGTCCTCATTTTATACAAGCACAGATGTTGATAGCTGTGATCACACATCATGCAAAGGCCTAGCTTCTGGTGTTTGTTGGATATGTCAGTAGAGGAGTAAAAAAAAATATATATATAGTGGTTTTTCGACCAATTCTTGGTCTGCTTTGCTTTCTTTTTCAGCTGTGCTTGTCTTGCATCTCTGTGCCGGCTAGAGCAGTGTTTCTCAACCATGATGACTTTAAGATCTGTGGATTTCACGCTGGCTGGGAAATTCTGGGGGTTGAAGTCCACACATCTTAAAGTTGCCAAGGTTGAGAAACACTGGGTTAGAGACTTGTGCAGGGCACAAAAACAAACCAGGAAAGTGAATACAAATCATGTGCCTTTTTACAGATCATACCTATTTACAGTTGCAAACCCAAACTATGATTTCAAAGAGCAGTTTACTACCTTAAAATAAAGTGTAGTTTATTCATGCTTTGCATGACGTATGAACAGAGTCAAACACCCTGAAGGAGTTAATTTGTATTTATGGCTAAAAAATGAGATTTAATTTAGCCTAATTTGCTGGACTGGGGCTGCTGATACCAAAATGTATCTACAGCAGGCCCTGCAAAAGTGTCCCACTAACGACCTTGCACTAAGGAAAAGAGGACAGAGGATTATGTTCAGGGTGTAAATGCTGCAGTCCAAGGGCCATATGCAATCCTTGGCAACCTCAGATACCCGAGGGATTGTCCCACCCGGTCAAACAGAGAGGGTATACTGCGGACCTCGTCGACAAAAGAATGTTGACTGGCGAGGCCCAGAAGGAGAACCTTCTCTGCTGTGGCCCCCGCCCCATGGAATATCCTTGCCCCAGAGGTGAGGTAGGCCCCTACTCTCTTGACCTTCCAGAAAGCAGTCAAGACCTGACTCTGCCAACTTGCATGGGGCGAGAAAAGGGGCAACCAACTCTGGGGGTGGCTAGCACCTTGAAGATGCTCCCACATGTTAATATCTTTTCGATCACCAGCATCTTGGAAGATATTATTATTTATGTAGGTATTTGGTTTTATTGTATTTTCTACTATTTATATTCTATTTTAACTAATATTTACAGTATTTGTTGTTTTTATTGTAATCCGCCCAGAGTCACTTCCTCATGAGATGGGCGGTGTCTAAATTCAAAATATATACATACATACATACATACATACATACATACATACATACATACATACCTGTTTGAGCAAATCAGGGCAAAAATATTGGCCCATGTTTTGCATTTTGGGAGGATGGTGTTTTGGGGCAGATCAAGGGACAAAAAAGATGGTCTTCAATACATACTGAAGATTCTTCATTTCACCCCTTAAAGCCCTGGTTGAGTCCTGGCCCTGCCTACTTTCAAAGTGCCACCTCAACATGCTGTGCAGTCTGGCTCTGGAAGAAAGGGAACCTGCATAGCCCTGGAGTAGGAGGCCCTTCTCAATAGCTTAAGCCTCAGCTGCGTAAGGCTTTATGCAGCCTCGTAAGCACCTTGAATTGGGCTTAGAAGGCCGTCAGTGAAGTTGTCCCAACAGGAGAGTAATGCGGGACCCCAGGAGGCCTTCCTCATCCCTGGTGCTGCTGCATTCTACGTATCTCTACTCGCTACTTTTTCTTTCTTCAAGGAGGGAAGGGAGAGTGATTATGAAAAGATCAAATCCTAAACCTCATCACAGAGAACTGTTGGTCTTTCTGTACATCTTTACTGTTTCCTTTTTCTTTCTTCGCCTTTATTACAGCTCGAAATCTCCTTTGTTCAGGTTTTGCACAAAAGAGACAGACAATAAATACAGTATTGTTCATGAAGGAGCCAAGATCTGTTTAGGCAAGAAGATCCCAATTCTTACACCTCCCTCAATCAGGTTCCCTCTAGATATGTGGAAATGCTGACTAAAATTAGCAGAATAATCTTATCATCAGGGCCGGATGGGAATTATAGGAGTTGTACTTCCAACATAGCAGAAAGGAAACCAGGTGAAGCTAGCTGGCTTCCTTTATCTGCCTACCACTTACCATGTCGGCCAATGCAATGTAGAGGAACATCCCTCCGGCTAGAGCAAAGATCCAGTTGGCTGAGAAGTGGCTACCAGCCAATATCCCAAACCCCAGGCCCAGGTAGCAGCAGCAAGCTGAGAGGAAGTTGAAGAAGAGCGCTTGCTGGATTGTCATCCCCGCATTCAGCAGAATGACAAAGTCTCCTGCAAGACAAACAGCCATACCAAAGAAGTTTAGAAGGCGGGGGCGGCGTTCAAAATGAGCAGAACCCAAGCCTGAACAGCTGCTGCCCAATGCATTGATCCAGGAGCATTCCGCGTTTTAAAATGATCTCTCTCTGTATTATCAATGCATGTGTATGCTGCTGATATATGCTTTGTGGAGATGGCCAACCATAACATTTTGATGAAGACATAGGTTACATAGTATATTCTGTAACCCCCCAAAATTCACTGGAATGCTGTGCCACCATCCCGTGACACCAACAGAGAAAGCTACCTTGCGGTTTGTTGGTTTTAGCGGTCTGTGAGATTCCAGCCACTGAGGTTTGCAAATAATAACAGCTGTATGTTCAACAAGCATGGCCCAGCACAGCCTTTGAGTAGGAGTACATTTTCATATAGCCATCGTGGCTTAGAGGCTATTAATATATGATCTTTCATGAATTGGCTAATCCTGTTTAAAAGGGGACCAAGGAAGCAAGCACGGAGGCATTGGCGTCTTGACTGACTAGCTAGGAAGCCCTCTTCACAGCAGCCATTGATACCCGCTGCCCAGGAAAGGGAGTAGAGTAGCAGCAAAGAGCGAGGAATCCCCTCATTATCCCTTTCCGCTTGCTTGCTTATTTTCAGGCTTCTATAATCAACCACCTCTGAGCAGCGTACAACTCCCCAAATCTATAGTTTAGGATTAAAATGGAAATCATCAAAATTTAAAACTAAAACTGTGTAAGTATCCCTATAAAAACTGAGAATCTACATTCACAATACAGTACTGTACAACTAATCCACTGTGCCAAGGGAAGTGTCATTTGCAATGATCACTTGAACCGGCCATTTAATTCTTTCCTTAAAGGGGCCTCTAGAACTAACTGCCTGGTGATGAATATGGCACAGCTGTTTGTTTCGCAAGGGAATTTTATCTGGTCACCCTAAGCAACCCGTGTCCTTTCCAGCTGCCCCCTGCAAGCAACACCACCTTAAGAATTACTGCCCGAGCCTCCTTATTGTCCTTTTTGCTCCCTTCTCCCACATTTTCCTTCTGTATTATATCTTTTTAGATGGCCGTTCCAAAGGTAGAGACTACCCTGTTGCTGTTCTTCTGCCAGCATGGAAGGCTGAAACAAGTCATAAAGTAAATAATAAAACTATCTATGCCAATGTTTCTCAACCTTGGGAACTTTAAGACGGATGGACTTTAACTCCCAGAATTCCTCAGCCAGCATGGCTGGCTAGGGAATTCTGGGAGTTGAAGTCTACACATCTTAAGTCGCCAAGGTTGAGAAACACTGATCTAAGCTAACAAACATTGCTATCCTGAGTGGCCCTGAATCCCCAAAAATGATACTCGTACAAAGAAATCTAATTTGGCAATATGTTAATACAGATGAATACATATCACTGAAGAATCCATCAACAGAGTACGATGAGAAAATTTTTTCCACCTTTTCTACACTGGGCAGACATTTTAGAAATCTCTGCACTGTTCTCTGTTGCTTATATTTTTTATCTAAATTATGAAACCTCAAATCCATTGGACCTTTCCTTGCAAGGAAGATGCTCCTACCTTTCAATTATTTTGGTTGCTCCTTAATAAGAATTCGACTAAGTGCACCCCTCAAATGAATCCTATATATTTTTGCCGCTATAAAGCAGAATTAAAGCCACACATACCTAGCTCATGGGGAAATTCTTCACAAAGAATGGCCACAGAGGTGCTGATGCCTTGAAAGACCGAGACAGTGAAGGAGGCACCGATGGCCAGCCCGTCAATGAAATTGTGAAGGCCATCACTCAAGGTTATCATCCAAGCCAGGGTGCCAATGTCTGAATAACGCACCCCTTTCAGCCAATAGCATGTGCTTTGAGATGCTTGGAGGTCCTGGAAAAGAAGTATCATTTTAGGAAAGCTGAAACTTCCTTATCACCTCATGACAGGTGAATCAACAATCCTATACGGAGCCTGCATCATAACACATGGTCACCTAACTACATTACCTACCATGCTACAATAGGAGACATATAGGTATATTGTCAACTTATACAATCTCAACTTATACTTCTCAACTTATACAATCTTTGCATAAGAAATGAGCTTTGCTACTATTCTTCAGGGTTTGGGAGAACATAACAACCATGCTGTGCTGGTTCAGCTCCTTTCTCCAAGGCCAAACCCAATCGGTGTTGATAGGGAGCGAGAGGTCCAGCCCCGGCCCCTACTGT